TAAGAGAAATATCAAAAAATCAAATTCTTATCTGATAAGAAGAGTACAGTGTTCTGGACTTCAGAATCAAGTTTCAAAGTTAGACAAATATATATTTTACAACTTGGTTAAGAGAAATATTAAAAAATCAAATAAGACTAAAGTGTTTGCACTTCAGGATTATGTTTGTTAGATTGATATAATTATATATTTAACAACTTGGTTACAACTACATCAAAAAAATCTAATTCTTATCAAAATAAGATTAAAGTGCTTGCACTTGAGGATCATTATTATATACTTTGCAACTTGATTAAGAGAAATATCAAAACAATCAAATTCTTATCAAAATAATAAGACTACAGTGTTTGAAGTTCAGGATCATGTCTAATATTTGTTAGACTGATATTTATATATTTTGCATTTTAGTTAGAAGAATATCAAAAAAAAAAACAAAATCTTATCTAATAATGTAAGAAGACTAAGGAAAGGCCCTATTAGGGGTAAATTCTGACTGGTTACATCGGGCCTTGCACCAGTAAAACCAGAGCCAAGAAATTTAGTAATAGGGGCTTATAAGAAGATAAGAAGACTACAGTGTTTGCACTTCAGCCAATATTTATTCGGCAATATTTATTAGGCTAGAGTGATTTTTCTTGGGCAGTGAAACAAAGTTATGTGTATGATTATTACTGACTGACACTCCAAGTAAAACAAAAGAAAACAATGGAACTTGGGTCTACTATGTTGACTATTCTTTCACTGGCAAAGTAAAATTACTCTAGTGGAATATAAAAACAAATTCCTATCAAATAACAAGCCGTAAGTAAGAAGCATTTATATTTTARTGGAGGAGTGCTGCAGGAATCTACATGGACTTGTGACCAGTCTACCTCAGTGGAAGAACTTTGGGTTGAATAAAAATGTTGATGACTCTCAGCTTTTAGCTGTGTAAAATCTTGATGACCCTTCCTAGATTCCTTCRGCAGTCGCCCTCTTTAAAAAATCGAATGCTCCCTTAAGGAATATTTTAATGGCAAGCAATCATTGTATTTAAGAACATCGTTATATTTGAGATAGGAATAAACATCACTTATTTAACTGATGACTTAATGTCTTGACTTCACCCCTCTTGTAAATTGTTTCAAAKGAAAAGGATATAATATAAATCAGGGAGGGGCTCACTCTTCAAAAAGGGCACATTTAAAAACTTAATTTTGGATTTCTCGATTACCACAGACTATGAAATGAAACTTGTGAAACATATATTTGATGTATTTATCTTTTATTATTGAAGATATGCATTATATTTCTCAATATTATATATACCTGTCCAGTAATCTACCTTTCTAACCTGGAACACTCTTATTCTTTTTACTTGGAGTATTATAAATACCAAATTTTGACATGCTAAAAACCAACTTATTTAATATTTTGTGTTTTTTATTAAGGATCTGGTTATTTTTGTTGTTATTTGTTGGTTTGGAAAGGAAATTCTTTTTTGCTCATTCTTATAACATAACGACAGAACTCTGTGTTTTTGGTTCTTCATTGTATCCATTTGCATCTATTTTATGTGCTGAATTAAATCATGGTTTAGTTCTTTTCTGTATCTGAGCTTCATCAATCTGTGTGGGACAGACTGTTCTTCGTAGTGCCAAAAGTGAATATCTACAAACAATATAAATATGCATGTCAATAATGTATGGCTTTTGATAAGAATCCTTTAAATTATATTGAACTCTGAAACAAACTCTGAGATGATCAAAGTCTGGATATGGCTAACTTGTATATCAACTACCAAAATATTCCTCACACTGTTCCTTTAGTCAGGTAATCAGCACCATTTTTTTCAAATTTCTTTAGCAAGGTATGCATAAGTTTTACTATGATCATAACTAGCCTTGGTAACAGAGCTGTAACAGATATCAACGCGCAAAGCGACCAGAATTCCTTGCTTGATAAAGTAATAGAAACAAAGTAGATTTTATGGGTGACTTGAACAAGACCAAAGCATATAGTCCATGCAAACGATAATATGATGCTACCCCATAGGAAAAGATGGTGTATCCATGTCTAAGGAATATAAAAAAATATGGTTAAAAACAAATGGAAAAGGCACTACGTAAAGTACATCAAAATGGGCCACTGCATTTGATTCTTTACCCCACAACTACCCCAACATTACCACTGAGGACGTCAGCCAACCCCCAGGGGGGAGGGGGCAGAAAATGGAAATGAATGGAAATCTTGGGCTGGTAAGAAGTGACTTTATATCCTTGGGGTCGGATATGAAGAAATCTTAAAGTTAGGGTTGCATTAGAATAAATAGATAAAATGTGAAAATTTTGAGGGTCTTTCAATTCCAAAACCAACCATTGTCAGGTACAGAAACGCAAGTCCACTTAACGTYCTCTAGATTAAAGAAGATGATTTCTGCAGCATAGTTTATTGGAACTCACCCATTGAGAAGTGGCTAGCCCCAAGTGTAGATTTGCCAAGATAACAGCAGCTTGATGTATCGTTATACCAACCATCCTATCATCAACTGGTGTGTCTTCAAAGAGCTGTGCAAAACAAGTCCAGTTAGTTACAATAATGATGATGATAACAACAATCTCTGCCTCGGGAGAGTTAGCAAAAGTTCCTCCGCCCCTGCTAACCTTCCCTAGGCTTCGTGAACATTTATTCACTAATATCCCTCAGTGCCACCTATATATAATGGATGTTCAAATCTCGCGATTTCGAAATTGCGCAAAATTCAAGTGCGTAAACCATCGCGCTCATCATAGAGCTATTTTGGACCAGGATATGTTTCAAAAATGGTGTCTGTAGAAAACAGTCCTTGTGCTACCAAACTGCAGCCTCAACCATGAAATAAACGAGAAGTAAACTTACCAGTGAACAACAGAAAAATAAAATGATACTTTGATATAGAGCATCTAGAATAGTCAACCAGAATAACTTGCGGGTGTACATCTATGGAACAAGGACAAAAATCAGTGTATTGACAGAAGAAATAATCACAGGCCACTTGCAGTCTATGACCCTGAGCATCTTTATTTCATTTCGTTATTATGTTGCATGCAATCGATGTTGCGAGCCATGATGCACAACGCAATTTGTTGCACGCAACGTTGCTGGAGTAGAAAACTATCCTTCTTCAGCAACACTGCCTGCAATATTGCGCGCAATGTTGCACCGTGTGTCTGTGCCTTTATGGAACCAACATGACCGCGATTATGTAATGGAAGAACAGTTTCCATTTCCATGAATATACAAATCCTGTAATTACAGCGCTTCTCAATTACGCACGAAATCGTACAATTTACCGTCACAACGAAGGTGGTTTTGGTGTGCGCCAATCAAAGCGTTTTCATGACA